TTGCCCCATTTGTTAGGAAATGGAAAGACTTGGAAAAAATTATATTAAGTGAAGTAAATCAGGCCCAAAGAAAGATAGGTCCCATGGTTTCCCTTATTTGCAATAACTAGTATATGTCTGAGTCAAGCAGAAAAGGTCAGATAAGGTGATGTTAGGGAAATGAACCTAAGATGTGTATTCAAATGTTTTTTTTCTTTCATGCGATTGTTTCTAACACATTTATAAGATTATTTCTTTGTTGCTTTGTATGTCCCTCCCCCATAGTATAACCCCTGCTTTCACTGTATTTGATGTTGTTATAATTTGTGGAGGGAAAGGGGAAAAAATTATTTAAATAGGGATACAGGCGGACCCATTGCAACAATGAGACGTATAAGTCGTTACGTTGAAAACGAACTTTACAACTTTGGTGGTGGGGGGGGAGGAGGGTTGGGTGGGGGAGGGGTGGAGAGAGGATGGGATGGGAAGGGGAAACAAAGGAGGAGGCAACAATGCTTGATAAGAAATGTACTCATTATCTTGCCTATGTAATTGTAACCCCTCTGTACAGTATTTTCACAATAAAAATAATTCATAAAAAAGACCAGAAGATGCATTTCATTTCACTGTATACCATCTACACATGACTCAGAATAGATTATGTGGTTTATCTTGTCATAGTATCCATGTACACATGACTTGGAGTATATGATGCTGTTCATGTCATATCAATATCATGTTCACATGACTTAGAATGGATGATACAGATTATCTTATAGCATTTTTGTACATATAACTGGGAATGGATAATGCAGTTAATCTTACTGCACAGCCATGTACACATGACTTGGAGTAGAATAGTAGCAGTCATCTTGTTGCAGTGTCATGTACATATGACATAATAGAAGATGTAGCCATCATCTCATTGCAGTACTGTGTCTACAGTGCTGTTTGGGAAGGTTATATTACAAAGAGAGCAGTACTGGATACAAATCTATTCGTTGTGCAATACTTGATTTATCAGTAAACTATTTTTAAAAGATAGCTGAAAATAACATTGGTATTCTGTATTTTTGGCCATTTACTTTCTTCTCTGTTGTGGTTCTGAGCAGTGTGCAATGAACATTATTTTTTTCATAAAAAAGTTTCAGAAAATACCAAATCACCACTTTCACAAAGATTTCCTAATTTAATAATTTTTTCCTTAGATTTAACAATCCAAGATTTTTTTTTTTTTGTCAGTCGTGGGGCTTGAACTCTTGCCCTGGGTGCTGTCCCTCAGCTCTTCAGCTCAAGGCAAGCATTCTACCACTTGAGCCACAGCGCCACTTCTGGCTTTTTCTGTTTATGTAGTTCTGAGAAATCGAACCCAGGGACTCAAGTATGTGAGGCAAGCACTCTACCACTGAGCTACCTTCCTAGTCCCCAGGAATATTTTTTCATCCAGTATGAGACTTAGGAGACTAAAAAATTGGTGTAAAACTGTATTACAATTAAAATAACACTTGTGGCAAAGAAGGGGAGGAAAACATTTGCATAATGCATTATTTTAATGTATCAAGTAGAATAAAACAAGACCTTGGGATGAGATTTTGTGTAGGTTTTCTAAATATCTTAAGGTGATAGATTATTGAGTCTTCAATTAGATTAAAGTTTATTGTTTATCATAAACTTTGAAGAGATATTGTAAATTGTACATTGCTTTTTGGAATTACATAGATCTTCTGAATGTTCATATATTTTACTATACAATTATTTTAAAGATCACATTATTGTGTCACATCAGTCTCATAGAAAAGTCTTTAAATATTGAAAAGCTTTCAAGTTCATGCTTGAGATACAAGTGTTTCAAAATTCTAGGTTTTTACTTGATTCTTACATACATTTTGCATTTATCAAATGCACTATTTCTCCATATATATATATATATATATATATACATATATATATAATATATATATTAGAATAAACTTTCCTGGCAAAATAACAGTCTGACCATGAGTACACACTATTCATTGTCAGAAACTTAACAGGAAATGAGCCAATTATAGAGAAGCAATTGCAGATTTAAGCTATTGCACATAAAAGGTGTTAAGAAATGGACTTTGGAGTTACACTAGCTACTAGTCCAATTGTACGGTTACTAATGAATAGGAACAACCAGTTTCTTGAGAAAATAGAGTATCCCCCACTACCTGCACCTCCTGCCAAGGTTGTTAGAATAGTTACATCATCTTATTCATTTAGAAAATAATCAAACTGCGTATTTGAGGATTATTTGTAATTGGTAATAAAAAGAATTTGTTTGGATTTTTGAGAAATTGGATGCTCAAATGTAAGGAGGGATATTCAATGGGATCAATTCGAATGAAGATACTGGTTACTGAAGACTAGGGTTGGGCCACTTTCCTTGATTTTCAGTACTTGTAGTAAATAACTACTGAATTAAACTTCACAAGAGTTTACTTCAAGAGGAGAAAAACTTGCTTTCTTTTGGATTGTTAATTTTGTGCAGTATTTGCAGTTTATTTAGTGAGCTTAATATTTGACTGAGGTTTGAGTTACAGAATATATGCCAAGGTTTCTGTTGGGTCTGCGATGCTGTCTAGTGTGTGAATTTGTGGTAGGGTACTTGCCTAGAATGCACCAGCTCCAGGGTTTGATCCTGCTTGCCCTCATTTGTGGTTCAGTTTCCTTAGTGGTTGCCTGTTTTACCACTTGGACCTGAGGAATTACTCTTGAACATGAGGTTAGATGGGTCGTGTTACTGACAACATTGTATTGAAAGTGTGCTGTTTCTGTGTCTTGGAAGTCTGTGACAAAAGCTGATGTAATCAGCCTGTGTAGTGCCAATTAGCAGTGGCCAATTAGGTGTGCTGTCTAGCTTTCCTCTTGTGCTGCTCAAAAGCTTGGAGAGGAAGCATCTCTCTTGTGGATGACAAGGGCATGAAAAATGATAATGGCAATGCAGTGCTGGTTAGCCTTTTAGGAATTTAAAATGATCATAATTAAACATTTAAGTAGACAGCAAAAAGTACTTTTTCTACTTGGTATCTTCAAAGATGAATAGGGAATGTCTTGCTTCACACCAGTTTTTTGGTAATTGCTAAAAATCATTGTAATGATGGTAGCTATCATATTTGTTTTTTGAAATGTGCCACTCATTGAGATAAGCACATTAGCTACTGTGTATCATTTATTCTTCATGTTACCATAACACTATAGATTCCTTTAATATGATCTATTTATAGACACAGATACTTATCCCTTCTGAATCTCAACTTCCTTTTCTGTTCAAAGAAAATGATAGATAGATTTGGGAGAAAATTTTGTTTGTTTTCTGGTGCTGGAGATGGAACCCAGACCTCTATGAGTCCTAGCCATCATTGAACTCCAATCCCAGCCCTAGAATCAGAGTTTTTAACCCAGGTCTCTAATTCTTTGACCCTTGCTTGTATATGCAGTACCCCAAATGTGCAGTAAATTCATTTTGCTAGTTTTATTTTCTGGAATTTCCTGCAGTCACCATGTCTTCTGCTCAACTTGTTGGACACTATCAAATTTGACTGGTGGTGTAATAGTTTGTATCTAGAGCTGAAGCTCTAGGTAAAAGGATTGAGAACATCATTATTCTGACAGGGAATTGTTTTTGCTCCCAAGTAGAAGGTGAACCCTGGCATTTTGAGTAAACACACATACAAAAAGAAGGAAGTCTAAGACAGTGAATGAGCCTTTATGCTGGAACAGTATTAGTTGTCATGACATTTTCACGACTTGAAAGTGTAAAATCTTTTTGTCAGTACCCATTACCTTTATGATAAAAGCTGTTGTTCTTTCAGTTCAAACCTTTGCCTGCTTACCTATGAGTAATAATGACAATGACAGTAGTAGCTGGAGCAGCTTACATGGCAAGATGCCAACAGATGTTTTTTTTAAGCTATCTCAGAAATTAACCGTTTTATTCTCTATAATATACTAAAGATAGGAAGTTAACTAACTTATGAAGGCAGTAACTCCAGTCAGCTGAGTTCTCAGGCTCTGAGGTTAAGCGTTCTCATGCATTATCTATCTTCTTTAATTCTTAAAACAACTTTCATCTTTTTCACTCAGTAAACTGAGTCTCAGTTATTAATTTTCCATTTAACATACACTTAGTTGAGGATGGAACTGGATTTGCAGATTCTGAATCTGGTATCTTGACTAGAAAACCATAGCAGTCTTGTGGAATATGGTCTGATTTGGTTTTCTGATTTTAAATAAAGATGGCTCCTGAGCAGGATCCTAGCTGTGGCCTTTAGATGTCTGCTGTTTGCTTATGAAACATGTTTGATTTGGAGACTTTATGATTATTTTTGTTTTTAATGGAAGGGAGGGATCTCTCTGTTTTGCGAAGGCTCCATTTATCACTGGTCTAGTGGACAACCAACTTGCTTGTCAGGCCATAAAAGAAAACTTTTGTGTTGTTACTATAGTCCAAAAGGTCAAAAATAGACAATTCCCTCTTTCTCTTAGTGTGCTAAGAGACAAATAGTCTACAACCACTTGCCTTCCCCCTGACTCTGGGATTTTTTTTTTTCATCTTGCCAATATTTAATTCTCCCATCTAATACAGTCTTCCCTTTGACACTTGGAGAGCTGACAGGTAGTTAGCTCCTTTGACTGGCAGATTGGTGCCTCTGTTTCATGAGAGTGTCATTACCCAGTAGAATTAGTACTGCTAACCTGGGTTTATTTAACACCTCTAACACACTCTGGAGCAAGAGAACAAATACCTTGCTTTCTTGCTTTCTCCTGGGATGTTCTACTATTAGCTGATTGAACTGGTGGGATGCATTTGTGTATTCTTGGTAAACAAGGTTTGTGGAGGCACAGTAATGTTTTTGGAAGGTCTTTATTGCCTTATCTTTCAAATTTGACTTGAGTGCTTTTACTAGTCACTTGGAATGTCATTATTGTTTCCTTGCTGCTATAAAAAGAAAATGAATTTAAAATCAACTACAAACTGAATTTTTCTTTTTCAGATGCCAAAGAAATTGTTTTAAAAGCACAAATCTTAGCTGGAGGACGAGGAAAAGGTGTCTTCAGTAGTGGTTTGAAAGGAGGTGTTCATTTAACTAAAGAGTAAGTCTGGAGGTTTTTACTTGGTTGGTTTTGGACTAAGCAATTATATTGAAAGCACACTGAGAGGGATGGTGGGATAGGGGTGGGAGCAGGTGAAAGCAAGTAGAAGGAACAAAGTGTGGGTAAAAGGCTTCAGAAGTATCCCAGGTTTTTATCTGCTAGCCTGTGAAAGTTTTTCTTCCTGAATTGGTAAAAGCTATGTACTTCTTTCCTAGACAGTGATTCATTATAAATGTTGGGGGCAATACCACTTCCAAGTGGAAAGCCACTGTTGTAATGCCACTCTTTCTCCCTCACTTCCCCCATTTAAGACCCACAGTGGTTCCTCATGATCAGTGGCATTTATAATTGAATAGTCCATGCCATGTTTTTTCAGTGTTCTCTCTTAGTTCTGAGCTCTTGGTTTTTCCCCCCTGATCTTGTGGCATGCTTCTTCATTGTTTACATTGATCCTTGTCCTCTGTGATTCCTCTCATTGTTTAGTATTTGTCAGATCATCCACTGTCAAGGTCCTATTCAACTTAACCTAAATCTATATGCATGTCAGCATTGTCTCTTTTCTGTGACTGTAACTTACTTGGAGAAGATAGCAGAGATTAGGAGCATCATTCATTCATTAGTTCATTTGTTCTTCGCACATTTGTATTTAATGTTAGTAAGCCTCTGTTAAAACACTAGCTCTGTTGTCTGTGAGAGGGAAGTCCCATAATTTCTGTGAGTGGAGGTGAGCCCTGTGCATTTTGCATGTATGGATGGACTGTGTTCTAAAATTATTGGATTTTCATCTTGTTTTCTTTTTTTCTTTTTCTCCTCCCTCTTAGCCCTAAAGTTGTGGGACAGCTGGCTAAACAGATGATCGGGTATAATCTAGCAACTAAACAAACTCCAAAAGAAGGTGTGAAAGTTAACAAGGTAATGTAGATGCTTTTGGTCACTTTCTTCGTAGGTGTTAAAAAACAACAAAACCCCAGACAATCATACTTCACTTTTGACAGACTTAACAAAGCACTAGTCTTTGGCAATGTGCCATTTGTTTTAAGCATCATATAATTTGTTGGAGAGCTGGAGAAATAAAAGTTCTATAAAAAATTACTTACATATTTAGCAAACATCAATGGATATAAGTGACGGGAGCAACAGTTTTCCCACTGAGAATACATATTCTGTTCTAGCTGAAACAGGCCTGGCAATACTGCCTTGCACTCAGATGGACTCTCCCGCCCCCAGGTATCCCTGTGGGCTCAGTGTTGTGTGGCAGAATTTCCAGTTATGATAGTTTTTCTCAAAAGTATTTGTGAACCATACTCTGAGATTACTACCGTTTTGGGTTACCCTTATTGCTAGGAGTATATTATAGTAGGGGAGATTGCTAAGGTGCCCAAGTTTGCACAGTAGAGGTAGGGGGTAGGGGGAAAATGAAGCAAGCCCAGGGAAAAGAAGCTTGCCTCCGCCAGGAAATCATGAGTGGTAAAGCTGAGGCTAGAACCTAACCTTGACCATTATCTGTTTCCATTTTGTTATATCCTTGTATGTAGATGCACCAAAAGCAGACACGTGATTTGTACAAAGTAAGAATGTGGAAACCTGTCTTCAAATTTCAAAACAGCTGCAGCATAAAGTAAATTTTGGAGAGGGGTCCCTTTGGGCATCACATGTGACAGCTTTGGGGAATGCCCATGGTTAGACATTTCTATTCTACTATGTATATGGCTCTTTCTTTTGGGACTGGTGACATTGCAGGGCGGTGGGGGGGGGGGGGCAGGGAGGAGTACTTTCTCTTGAGAGAGAATCATTGTTTGATGCTATCTGTTCTGTACTTCTGGACACCAAGGTGGTAGTATATTCTGTTATACTTTTCAGAGAGAGTTTTTTGAAAAATTCTCAGCATGACCTAAACACATAATCATCAGCTGATCCTGAATGTATCATGTGAAGGTCTTTGCTAGCCAAGAGCAGGATACTGAGCTGGAGAGACAGTGGAATACTAGAAGTCTTCCTGCTAAGAGCATTTAGGTTTTTTACCTGTTAAAGGAACAAAGTTCAAAGCTGATTGTGTGATTTTCATTTGTCAGTGCTTCTGGGATTCAAGAACTGTTTGAAATGCTTAGATGCGTTTCATTCGGTTGATTTGGTCTTGCTCAGCCTGGAAGTTACTTCTATTTCCCATTTAAGTCTGATTGTGAACCTTTACCCCTGGTACCTTAGGTAATCTTTGCCTTTAGAGGGCATCATTATTGTTTTTATTTGTAGGAATTCATTGTTTTATTTGAACACATGGTAGTTTAGATTAGAGTTTGTGATGCTGTTAAAAAGTGTATTAAAATGCATGCATAAAACAGATTTACACTATATAATAATAGAATTCTGAATTAGTTCGTAGAATAAATTCTTGAAATACTGAAGATAAGTATGTTCTTATAAATTGAGTCATTTGCCAGGAAAATACCACAAAGATTTATTTTTAAGCCACCCCCCCAAAATTGCAGAAGTCATTAAAATACGTAAAAACATTCAGCAGTACAGAAATAGAAGAATTAGGATTAAAAGTTATGTTCCTACTACTCAGAAATAGTTTTCTTGCATTATTTTTGTCCTTTTTTGTATACATTATAAGCTTACAACATTTCTGTAACAATAAATTATTACATTCAGTTTCAATGACCTTGCATTTCTGATTTTATTATGGATTCTTTTCACATCAGTATATGTGGTTTGTTGTTCCAGTGTATTCATTTAAAAGTAAAGCCAGAGCTATTAATGCAGTATCACCAAATATAATAGTAAAAGGAAAAAATAATGTGTTTGAAAAATATTTTTATATCATACAATCTAGCACCATATCTACTACATAAAAGAAAAAGAGCTAAATACATGCTTCGTAGTCACAATCAAATCCATGCAAATTCTAACACATGATAATAGTAAGTCACCATTTACTATATATTTGTGATGTTGCAATAATAGCTCTGGTTTTACTTTTAAATGAATATAGTATTGCTATTATGTTAGGTAAAAAGAATCGGTACATATTAAATAACACATGCCTATGGACCTAATATAGGAAACATTTGATTCCTATGTCTTCCTCTTTGCAGGATGTGTCTAACAGCTTACCCCAGTCTAGGTGGCATATCAACAATTGAGATTTATTTCTCACTGAAGGCAGGAAGCCCATGAAAAAAGTACCAGCACATTTGGTGTCCCATCCTAACTACTCAGGAGGCTGAGATTTGAGGATCGCAGTTCAAAGCCAGCCTAGGCAGGAAAGTCTGTGAGACTCTTATCTCCAATTAACCACCAGAAAACTGGAAGTGGTGCTGTGGCTTAAGTGGTAGAGTGCTTGCCTTGAGCTGAAGAGCTCATTGACATTGCCCAGGCCCAGAGCTCAAGCCCCATGACCAACAGCAACAACAACAACAAAATTTGGTGTCCAGTGAGGATTTAATCATGGTATTCCACCATTGAATTGTCTTTACATGTTTGGAAAAATCAGCTGAGTTTTATTTGTATGGTTCTGTTTTGAGTTATTTTCCACAGATCAGTGTGTCTGTCCTTCTGCCGTTACCACACAGTCTCAATTACTGCAGCTGAATCATGAGTTTTGAAGTGATGGAGATTGATTATTCTCACGTTATTCTTTTTGAAGTCTGTTTTAACCTATTAACACATAGCTTGAAATTATCTTGCCTTCATTCATGAAAAACCTAGCTTATTTTGATAGGGATTGTATTAAACTTTATATTAATTGGGACAGAATTGCTATATGTTCTTATAGTCCATTGATATGTCCTTACATTGTACTTAGATCTATTTTGATTTCTTCTATAAACATTGATTGTTCAACATATGTTGGAACGTGTTTTAATAGATTTGCGTCTAATTGTTTCCTTTTCTTATTTTCTGCCACTGAGGCTTAAACTCAAAAGTTTTTGAGCTCTCTAGGCTTGTTTGCTCACTGCTGGTCCTCTACCACATGAGCCATGCCTCTAATGCAGGCATTTTGTTAGTTAACTAGAAATGGACTTTTCTGCTCAGGCTGGCTTTGGCTTTAAACTGTGATTTTCTTTATCAGCCTATTGAGTAACTAGAATTTCAGGTGTTAACCTCTGAGCCCCGCCTTCCTTTCTTTCCTTTTCAATAGCAATCAATAGTAGCAGCAAATTCTTAATTTCACTTCCCAGAATGTTCCTTGATAGTTGTTAATAATTCTTTTCTAATTGCTTGGTAGATTGATAGACTCACCTAGTGGGTCTGGAAATTTCTTTAACTGTTGGCATTTCTGGGTTTACCAGCTCTCCCAGCATATAGTCTGAGATTTATGAGGCAAAACACAAAATAGTACAAAAGACAGAAAGGACTGTATTCACTATATTCATGTCCTAGCTTTGAATTTTAAATTATATAATGTCCCCAAGTTTTATTTGTACTTAGAAGAGGAATGGGAAAAAGTGTATCTGCTCCATCACTCAGAAGCTGAGATTATTTTTTTTTTTATTTCTAAGCTTGAGATGCTATTTAAACACACACACACACACACACACACACACACACACACACACACACACACACACACACACACGTACAAAACAAATGCCTACTTGTTGATTGTGTGTCTGTGTTGTTTGGGACAAGAATGACTGTGAGGTCGTGCCATTCATCTTGTGGTCCAGGAATCACTAACAGTGCTGTGTATTACTCTGCAGGAAATTTAAATTTTTTTCCCCTCCAGTCCTGGGGCTTGAGTTCATGGCCTGGGCACTGTCTCAGAGCTTCGTTCTATCACTCTACCATTTGGTCCACAGTGCCACTTCTGGATTTTTCTGAGTAGTTTATTGGAGATAAGAGTGTCATGGCCTTTGCTGCCCTGGCTGGCTTCGAACTACAGTCTTCAGATCTCAGCCTCCTGAGTAGCTAGGATTGATTACAGGACTGAGCCACCATTGCCTGGCAACATTGATGTTTTTTAATCTTATCTATGCACACTCTGTTTCAAATATTTTGTATACTAACTCTCATGTACAGACCACAGTTTGAATAGCAGATGTAAAAAAATAAAAGCAGCGATTTGATGATAAAACATGAGAAAAAAAGTTAAGAAGCTTTTAATACTGTGGACTCTTTGTTATCTCTCAGAAGAAGCTCTTTTGAAATGAATCTCTCTGAGTTTCTCCTTAGAAAAGTGTTGGCAAACCCATTAGATATCTTGTAACAATCCCTGAAACATTCTGCCATCCTGAGTCTTAGGGATGTCATTGTTTAATAGTGTTTAAAAACTGATTATTGTATGAAACTTTTTGAGTTTTCTCTTGGAAATAATTTTCCTGGGGATAATTTCTTAAGAAGTGATACATTATTTTTTGGCAAGCAGGGGCTGTTGGAGAGAGCAGCTGGGTTTTGCAAACAGAAATTTGATGGAATGCAATGCACATCTGTCAACACTGTAGAAGATGAAGAACAGGACTTTTGAATGACACTTATCCTAAAGAGCCTCTAAGAATACTGACAGCCATTTAGTGTCTCATTAGGCTCACTCTGTATTAGAAAGTGAGCAGTATTTAGGCTACTATACCAAAAAACTCAGAATCTTCATTATGTATTTGTACTTATGCCATTTATTTCTTAAAACAGTTCTGTCTCCATCTGGGGAAATCTTTAGAAGAGATGAATATCTTCATTTCTCAAACTATTAGTATTGATGCTTATACAGAGAAATTTCATGTTATTTCTATAAATTTTGTATTGTTACTGTATTTGATAAGGAAAAAATAGAGCCTAATATTTTTGTTCCCCTTGTCTTCCACTCCTCACTTAGAGATCCTAAGAATTAACTCAGGCAACCTAAAGTCTAAGAGGAAAATTGCATGGTTTGACTTTCACTCACTGACATTTTTTCAAAGAACAATTTGAAATTGGAATGGTTTTATGATTTCCCTAACTTCTACCAATCACCATATGCTAAGAAATAATTAAGATATATTTTTATGTTAAGAAATGAGTCCTGGGCCTAAAGGCATGCTGTAATC